GTGGGCACGCGAGTTAATTAAGGGAGTCGCGCGAGAGAATTAGAAGGCGGTAGCGTTAATTAAAAGAATCGCACTACTGACTACCTGTCTTAACGGTCAGCAGGAACAATGCAGGAGTAACAAAAGCCTGGTTAGCATTTTCCTCATAAATCGCCTTTTCAAACCCGCTCATACGGAAACGAGAAAATCAGAGATTATTTATTAGGGTTTATTGCAATTATCGAGTGCCCGACCTTTTCATCGACCGTGCTATATCCCGAGTAAGAACTCATACTGGCTTCGCATCTAGGTATTCGTTTTCATTCTCGTCTACTCTCTAGCGCCCTCTGTCCTAGCAACACCGCGCATACATAGGCGGTGCGCGATTTGAAAAACCCCTGCCCTCATCTAGCGGCTCATTGGACAAGTTACGCCTAGCCTTTCGGGCGGCAGCTCGCTTAGGCGACGCCACACGATGCGTGCATCGCGCCGCGTCGTTACCAGCGAGGGCCACAAGGAGGCGGAGCTACCAGCACATAGCTCGGTCTCAGCTGGTTGGCTCTCCAGCCGATTATCCCTGTACCGTCTCGGCACCTATTTCTACGGGTACCGCCTGCACCGACAGTCCCAGGTTTCCTCTCTGACTCACACGTTTTGTGTTTTGCACAATTATTCTTTGTGTAATTATCCTTAATAATAAAAATGTTCGATTTAAATACTTGAAAAATAAACGAGAAGACCGTTGTATAAATGCGTTAAACGCAATAATTTCAACTTCTCGTAATTGGTAATTTAATAAATTCGACAAAACGAACGCGGCTCGTTATTTCCTCGAGCATCGATGGTTTCTTTATATCCAATGATCCACTCAAGAAGAATAGAATTCGAAGATCACAAGGGAACATAACAAGTTCATTTTGTTGCATTTTGGACGTTACTTGGCGCGTGAGTCGGAATGTCCCGTGTCGTACGTTTGGATAGGCGAAGATTAAATTACGTTCTTCCCGCTGTCTTCAAATTCTGCGATTCTGAAATTTGATCTTCGCGCGCTTGGAAATTGGCGTTCAAATAAATAACGAAGCTATGCTTCCCTCCTCGGCATCGATAAACTATATCGATCATATTACATTTTATGGTTTGCCTATACATTATTTTCAGTCGTCTCGATGTTTCTCGCGTGAAGCGCTTCGTTGAACAGACTCACAGTTCGGCTGACGTTTTACGGGCCCTGCAATAATGGCTCGTAACTCTGTTCGCCTATATTTCACATTTATTGTCAGACTGTAGCTGTTACGTAACGAACGGGTCCACGAGCTCGAGCTCGCGCTCGTGACGTACGTGCCACGAAATATTGTACGTATAAATGATACCGATGCACCGCTTGTTCCTATTCTCTATTTTTACGGCTGTGTTTTGTTTGTGTTAGTTTTTCCAAATTATGCAAGTTTTCCTGCTTTCTTCGTTTTAGACGGGCTCTATCGCTCGAGCTTAGAGATCCAATCACTGTCATCGAATTTCGTCGAGTAATCGCTGTTTCTCAAAATTTCACTGCTTTCTTTTTCTCTTTTAAAGTGATAAATAAATATGTCGGAGATGAAAGAACACCGGAGTCTGTAATTGAACAATTGTAGTTATTCAATCCGATTGTAATTGTTCGAGAGTTGTGATAATGAGCTTGGGCTCGAGGCGACAGTCAGTCGCCGAACGTAGCCGCGGTTACGGGATGAACGCTTTGTCTAACAAAGGTATGGAGTAATTCTATAGCTCTCCTTAAAAGAAAGATTTGTCCCGTGGCTCGCCACACGCAGACCCTATTCTTCGAGTAAGATGATTGTCAGATGTCGATGCGTCTCCGCAGTACATGTTCAGCTAGCTCGTGGGCCCGTTATAAATCTTAAGATTTAGTCAACTAAAGTCCTTCAAACAGACAAACAGTCTTTGTCCCAACTACGGGAAAATAGGGGAAACCTATTTTTCAACGAGTGGCGTCTCCCACTAGCAACTTTCCCTCGAGGGCGGCTAGCATCTTTTTCTAACCACCGATATGGCGATTGACCAC